ATATACACTTGAACATCAGCAGGAGAGGACTCTTTAAAGTAGAGACACTACATACTGATATACACCTGAACATCAGCAGGAGAGGACTCTTTAAAGGAGAGACACTACATACTGATATACACCTGAACATCAGCAAGAGAGGACTCTTTAAAGTAGAGACACTACATACTGATATACACCTGAACATCAGCAGGAGAGGACTCTTTAAAGTAGAGACACTACATACTGATGTACATCTGAACATCAGCAGGAGAGGACTCTTTAAAGTAGAGACACTACATACTGATATACACCTGAACATCAGTAGGAGGGCAGTCTCAGTTTTCTCGAGATGCAGGCTGACCTTTGTGGTTCCTCCTGAGGCCGAGCAGCATCAGAGAGCCCAGCGCGAGACACACACCAAACACAGGAAGTAAAACCAGAACAGAGGGGGGGGCAGGCGACTCCTGATGCACTGCTGCTAAACAGAAATACCACAGGTGGGCCTCATGCAGAAACAGAAAGTATACACCATGTCCGAGTGCTTTACAATAAACGTTTAGCTGGATAACAGAATAATTACTGGCCCGATTTCCCTGACATTTTGTGGAAATCAAAGGCCAAGGCTGAACAAATTATAATTTGGAGTGGATTGAAATGAGGGGATCAGTAGAAGATGTTTTCTGGACCTTTAAGGCTGATCTCACCTCTGACAGCCAGCCAACTGTCTGGTGATTGTCCACCATCAGAGATGTTACACTTGTAGAGTCCTTCACCAGATTTAGAAACCCTGTGGATGGTGATGTTTCCTGTAGAGCTGCTCCTGATGAGGCGGCCATCTTTATAGAAGTCAGCTGACAGGGTGGAGGTCTGGTTTCTGCAGATCAGGGTCACAGATTCTCCCTCCATCACAGGAAGAGCAGGACTCTCCAGGATCACAGAACCACCTGAGAGACAGAAACATGTGAAGTAACCAAACAACTGCTTTATCTTTTTCCTTCTCTGTGCATCTTGAGGTTGCGCAAACTCTGCCTGTAGACATTTGTTCCATTTAAATGTATAATTTAATTTGAAGTGGTGCCTCACCTGCTGGTTTGTGGACTATTTTAAAGCATCAAGATTGGCCATGTGTTCATTTGCTATCTGGGTTTCTGGTTGACTCCATCTTTTTCTTGTTTTCAATTGCTATTTCAATGTTACCGCTATCTTTATTTTTGACTATCACCAACCGTTTGTTGGCGTTTTTTGGCCATCACAGAACCAGAAGTGACATGAGAGGCCAAAGATAAGTACCACCCAACGTCCAAAGTCTAACAACCAACTATTATGAATTACTTTTTGGCTGTTGCCATCGTGGCTTTTTGCCGTCCCCTTCCTGTTTTTTTAAACCACAGTTGACACTTGAACATGAACAAAGCTGAACGTTGAAGACATATCTAGGCGACCAAAATCTTACTTTTCTGAATTTAAAATGTTAAAGTTTTAGGAGAAAACATGTTCAACACTGTGTAAGCAACCTGTCAATCACAAGGTAGCTCCACCTTAAAGCAAACCCTGCTATAACAAGAAGTTGCATGTCAGAAAAACACAGAAACAGGTTGTTAGCAGCACTTGAACGTACCACCAATGCTGTTGAATTAGCATGTTCAAACTGTTGTTGTTGAAACCCACCGGTCACAGTGATGTTGACGCTGTTGCTGCACCTTCCTACCTCAGACTCACACCAGTAAACCCCAGAGTCAAAGCTGTAAAGGTCCTCAATAACACAGTGGTAGGGGGTTTTTCTGTCGGGGGAATTTGGACAATCTTCATTTTTGTTTCTGGATGTGTTCCTCTTCACTTTCCACTCAGAAGAGTTTCCCTCACAGCTAAAAGAGACAACCTCGTACTTAAAGAACTGGGATTTGTTGGGCAGGACTCTCAGAGTGGCTGCAAGGAAAGAAAAAAGACATTTTAAAATTGTAATTGCACCTCACCAGAAAACTGTTTTGCAGAAAAACTAAATGTGTAGACGTTCGATAACCGTCCTCACAAGGTCTTTCTTTTTGTTTCACAACGGATGTTATTCGAGCAATAAGCGAGGCGTCAATGTGATCAGAAACAAACCTCTTAGCTGCGTTCACTGTCAGCTAATATTGTCACAGTAATTTTGTTTAGTACATTCTCTATTTATTTATTTTATATTTATTTAACACAATTCCCTCTCGGTCGGTCTGACATCAGCCAGATCTGCAGCTTCAGGTTACATTGCATTTAGCTGCTTTCATGTTGGCCTGAAACCACAACAAGATAATCGTTTTGAAGACAAAGCTGCGTCTACACATCTCATCTCACACGGTGATGCAAACATATGGAACCACATGAGGAACGTGTGAAAAGTAGTTTATCAAAGCTACAATGAGGTAGAGCTGCGTAAAGATGAGAATGATTCACCTTTATTGGATAAAAGCATTTCTGGTGATTGCTGATCATTTTGAGTATTATTCGTTACAGATTATTCCCTCTTGTAGTTTCCACTGTGAAGATGCAACAGAAAGTTTCATGAAGCGAAGATCACTTTTAAATAAGAGAAAGTAAATAACAACACTTAACGTAGATGTTATGCAAGATTCAAACTATGCATACTTAAGACAAAGAAATGAAGAAATAAAATCGTGCAATCGATTTTACGCTGCTTGTAAAATACATGAATTGGCGAAAATGTACATATTATTCCTTTAATTATATTGTATTTTGTGTATATTACTGTAAATATTCAATTGAATTGTTTGAATGTTATACAAGTAGATAGTTATATATTTGCTCTTTTTTTACATCTTAATTCCAAAGCAGATTCCTTGACTCTGCATAATACTATAACTCTGATAATAAATAGAATAAATAGTGTTTACTGTAATGATATATAATCTACTCACCGAGCACCGTGCACAGTGTGGTGAGCTCCATGCTGACTGGCTGACTCTCATCATACAGTCACGGTTGTATTGAGAGGCAGCAGCTTCCTGCTTCTCTCTCTCCTCACATGTGTGAAATATGTCACAGCCTCCATTTTATCTGTAGTTACGTTGCATTTATAGAAAAAAAAGAAATACAGAAATGTTTATCTTCGCGAGAGGATAATCTGATTTTCAGCATTAGCATCTTTATTATAAAACATCACATCGTAATATTCATATTTTCTCATTTTTACTGTTAAATAAAAAGGTATAGGCCTATTTTTTTTTTTTTCATATATTTGTAATCATCTTTTGTTCGATTTTTTTGTGGTAGGATTTAAGATATTGATTGTAATATAACTTTTTGTATCATGTTTATTGTTGTAGTGAAACCTGATTTAACGAAACCGATCATTGATTTCGAATTACATTGTTTAATTGTTGCTGTGTGACCATCGTAGTGGGCTCCTTCTAGAAGAAAGAAAAAAGGTCAAAGTATTATTAGTTATTTGATGTGATGATCAGTGAAACCCCAGAAAAGACTCTGTATTTACCACCAGTCACATGACAGAGAATTATTTAGGTTTTTCCCATAGACTTTCCCCCCAAAAGGGGCGGGACCATGACGTAGAGTGAAAGTATCCGGATTTTCTGCTCGGAGTGACCACAGCATGGCTCACTAACCCCATTCCAAACCGCCCCCTACCCACTCCCCATCCAACAGAGTGAACTCCGTCAGGGTCTCTCAGCAGTGTTAATAATGAAACAGTCCCATACAAAATATTTATAATTTATTATAATAAAATGGACCCGTTTTCTAGACTAGACACGGGTATATAATCCTAAATAAAACAAATATGAGGTAACCATGAAGTTGTAAACATGACGCGAACGGAATGAACATAACAGTTTAACAAGTGACCATGCTGTATTATGATTAGGGAGCGGTTTGGAACTGGGCCAAGGAAAGAAAATGGAACCTGGCAGCCAGCGACGCGGTGACGCTGATATAAAGACGCCGTGGAAACACATGCTTCAAGTTCATTCATTCATTGAGAGGCAGTGGAGCTACTTTCTACTTCCAGACTTTAAACAGAGAGCTTTTATGGTTCACTTCGGAATTTTCGTGCTGGGCTTCTCTTTGGCTTTCTGGAGCTTCACGGCAGGTCACACAGAGGATAAAGGTAAGCTCCATTTATTGTTTCGCTTTTTATTAATTCAAACGGCTGTCAGAAGATAACTTTAAGAGACCACACAAACCGACATATGTCGTTAAACTCTGGTTAAACAGCGTCTGTGATTTACATGTTTTATAAGTTAATTTGCTATATCATTTTAAGTTTCTCTTAACGTCTCGACTCTAACCGCTCCTTTCTCTTTTTGAATGGACCGGCCCGCTTGCTCAAAGCATGGCTCACGTGAAAAATATATTCGTGCATGATGACATATCACGTTGTCATCTTTTAATTGTAATACTATCCCCTAATTTTGTTGATGTGATTTTTTTTCTATGTTATTATGCTCACATGCCAGAGCCTAAAATAAGTAAAAGTCCTCACTCATTGAGAGTGGTACTGAAGTAAAAGTATTTAAGTATCTTCAGGAAAAAGTATAAAGAGTAAAAGTGCTCATGGCAACATACTCAACTTATTGTTTCCAGTGTACTGAAATGAAATGTTTGGTTGTTTAATGTACCTGAAAGCATCATGTATCCAGTTTGTCGAGCAAGTTATAATATAGGATGTCAACAAATGTAATAATATCTGACTCTTAATTATATCTTCAACTGCACTATAACTTATATATTTGCTTTTTAATGCCATTTTCTTAATGTCTTTCATTTTTGTAAAGCACTTTGAACTGCCTTGTCCCCCCCGTAGGTAGTTAAAGTCATTATATTGGGGTTAAAGTCCCCTACGTGTGCCGTTTTGGTTTCAAGACCCTGGTTCGCGGAGGACACCGAAAAAGTCCTAGAAAGACAAGGTCAACTTAACTATAACATACATACAATGACAAGCAAGTCCTAATGTCAAACTAGTACAGCACAGTTCAAGTACAGATTAATTCAGTTCATCGAAATGCTGCACCTCAAGGTTTATTTTATTATATTTTGTATTTATTTGAGTGAATACATTATTCACTGTTTAATAATAATTAAAAACCCCAAAAATATATTTCTTGTTTTGTGATAATTTTTTCTGCTGTACCAAAAACGTACCGAACCGTGACCTAAAAACCGGGGTACGTGCCGAACCGAAATGTTGGTGAACCGTTACACCCCTAATTAATATAGAAAGATATTGGCAGATTAATCAATAATATATACAAATACATCTCAAGAGGAAAATACCCCATGGGCACCTTATACCGTACAGCAACATTACAGATAATATTGCCCTCTGTGGCACCAGCGTGACCCTCTCTTGTTTCAACAGGACGATCCCATGTGGGTGCTTTTGTAATCTATTGTTTTGCAATTTCTACATACAACCTGTTATAGGTTTGCAATGTAAATTACAGGTAATAATAAAATAAATCAAAGGTAGGACAATGAGATGATTATTTTACTGATCAAGAGCAGTTTTAGGCAAAAACACTGAATGAAAGAAAAACAATTATGTGATGTTAATGAAAACAAAATGTTCTGCATGGAACAAAGCAAAGAGCAGCATGTTTCAGGGTGGATCTTCAAACGTGTAGACTTTAAACGTTAATAAGTAGGTGTCATCTCATATGGCATAATAATGGCAAGTGAAACAACAACCTGTGAATGACGTGCTGGTGACATGTGTGGCTGCGGCTGTGTGTAAGTGCATTTAAAAAATAAAAAAGAGGAATAGTTTCGGAGAAAACTAAAAGATACCATGGGTTCAGATTATAATTTTCCAAAGGGGGATTCGTTTATCGTGAAACACTTGAAATAGCTAATGGAGAAAAAAGAAAGTAGAAAGAAAGGGAGGTGATAGAAAACAATTTTTGCTAAAAAGTGAGCAATGATTGAGTCAGAGCTAAACATTTCAGATGTGTGTATCTCACACTGCACTGTCACTTTAATTCATGTGCCTTTGCTTTTGAATGAGGGTTTTTAAATTTCATTTCATAGTATGTTTCGTAATTTCTTTCATTTTTGAAAAGCACTTTGAACTGCCTTGTGTTGAAATGTGCTGTATAAAATACACTTGCCTTGCCTCATCTCCAGGGCCCAGGAGTTCAAAACTTTTAATCTCAATCAGATCCGATCCCATTTTCAAATCCCATTTTTTGTGATCCAGGATCAGACAAGTCGGCCAGATTTTGTCCCCTGGAGTTCAAAGCAATTCAGGATAGGATCACCCTGATCCAGATTACGACTTTTCAAGATGACTAGATCCTGAATATCAGTGCTTTAATCCTACCGATCGCCATCTAGTGGACATGAAAAATAATACAAGGAAGACAAGAGACCACATTGCAGAGACATCTATAATGTTTAACTTTAATTATATTTTTTTATTTGAAAGCTGATGACAGATGATGGACTTTTTTTTTGTTGAAGATATTTTTACTTTAATCTAAATTACATTTGTGATTGACAATCTTTGCTGTGATACTTTTATGAGCATAAACATTTATGTCATCAACATTTGGTTGAAAACAAATAGGCCATCAGAAACGTGAGCAAAAATGGAAAAAATTAAATGTATTTCCCATGAAGGCTAAAAATTGTGTATTATTTCAGTTAACAAACGTTGCCATCTTATTTAAATTGAAACATATTTTAAAATAAATTGTACAGTACATTTTGCTCTGGTAATCCACTGGAAATCCACCCCTCTGGTGGGATCAGGATAATCCAGTTTTTTGGGATCAAACTGATCCCAATCCTGTGTTGTCGGTTTGAACTACCCGTTTTGAAGATTTGATCCAGATTAAAGCTTTGATTGGATTTCCTGATCTGATCGGATATCAAAGTGATCCTAATCCTGTTTTTTGGTTTTGAACTCCCCAAAATCCAAATCTGATCTGATCAGGGATTAAAAGTTTTGAACTCCTGGGCCCTGGTCATTCATTAATCATTTTGTTGATGAGATTTTATTTCTATGTTTTTATGCTAACAGTAAATAGATACCAGATTCTATAATAAGTAAAAGTCCTCACTCATTGAGAGTGGTACTGAAGTAAAAGTATTTAAGTATCTTCAGGGAAAAGTATAACACACATACTATCTCCTAATTTCGTTGAACTGATTTTATTTTTAAAATAACGTTGTTAATTTTTCTTCTTGCTTTATTTGAGCAGTGGTAGAGAAAGTATTCAGATACTTTAGTAAAAGTATTAAAACTACCAGGAACAAATACTACATTAAAATAAAAAAGTAATACTCCTGCATTCAGAGGAGTACTGAAGTAAAAGCATTCAGGAAAATGTAGTTAAATTACTCATTTAAAAAAACAAAAACTATTTGAATAAATTCTAAGAGAAAGCAACAAATCCTTTCATTTGAGACGCTGGAACTATTACATAGTATTAGAAATGATTATCTCATCCAACTGATTGGGTGTAGTTCAGGGTTACTCAAATATAATGTGTGATTGTTTAATCAACTTCGAAACATCATGTTTTACAATTCTGGATATGTTTGTGTTTAAAGACTTGATTAGTAAAGTCTCAAATGTAATAATTTGACACAGCTGCAGGTTCATACAGTGACTTATCAAACATGACTCAATAAGTGACTCAGAAGACACCAAAGAGCAGACAGTGTGACAATCACATCAGATAAGGTGTGTTCAAACATGTTTGGAGCCCGTCCAACATGCTATCTGAGTCATGTGGCGCAGTGGATAGAGCCTTGGTGTTGGGTTCAGAGGGTCACAGGTTCAAACCCCGCTGCAGTCAGCATGTCGTTGTGTCCCTGAGACACTTCACCCCGAATTGCCCCTGTGGGGATTGTCCACAGCGTTGAGTATGTAAATCGCTTTCGATAAAAGCATCTAACATGTAATCTGATAAGAAGAACGGTCTAGCGGGAAAATACTTCTAGTGTTCCAGATTCAAAACAAGAATACACTTGACATTATAGACACTGAAACGTCAGAAAAATGTATTAAGTGAATATTCTCCACAAAAATCCAATTGGAACCAGGGATGCTGCCTTCAGGCTCCATTTCAGAAATATGTCTTCCCTGCACAACAGTTCAATTACAACA